TAACTGGATCAGCATAGTTCAGGATGTGGCTGAATGGATTTACAGAAGACCTGGGTGTGAGTGACACCAAGCAATTAGCTTGTCGCCTGCAGGGAATAAGAGAGAGGCCAAGAAGGATGACTTGCTCTGTATCTTTGGTGGAGCTCTCCGGTCTTTACCTTCACCTTGGGTGCTGTCTCCAGGCTTCCAGCACAGATTCTTCAGCCTCCAGGGCAGAACCCTTGGCCCCCTGGCACCGACTCGCACAGTGAGCCGGGTCCTTCAGCTCTCTGTCACACAGCCAGCCCCTCTTCGCTCTTCTGCACCCCGCTCTGGGAAGCGCTTTAAACCTATCTGTACATCCTTCCATACTTACATATCTTGCTCTAAATCGGTCTCTCCAGTGGGCACTGATGACAGAGCAGCTGCCTTTGCCAGGCCTTTCCATCATGATACCTCTGCCGCGGAGCTAGCTGGCCATGGACTGAGGTGCCAGAACCGTGAGCCAAAATAAGATTCTCGTCTAAGATGTGAATATCAGGTATTTTGTCCCGTAAGGAAAAGCTGACTAATACAGAATATATCGGATGAGGCTGCTTGAGGTGAAAATCAGCGTCAACAAGTTAAAACACATTTCTGAAAAGTCGGAAAGAGATTGAGTTGGGCTTTAAGAAAGTGAGAGCCCACAATTCTTCCCCTGAATATAGAATAAAGAAGAAATACAACTGGGCACTGGGTGCATGCCTATAATCCTAGCACAGGGAGGCAGAGGCAGGAGGGTGGCTGTGAGTTCGAGATCAGCCTGGGTTATAAAAGGAGTTCAAGCCTGGCCTGAGCAACATAGTGAAACCCTCTTTGAAAAAGACAAAAAATAAAATAAAATTAAATTAAATTAAAAAAATAAGAAAGGATATCTATCTATGGAGATAAATCTCTTTGTGTTTAGGGTGAGATTCAGGAAATTCAAGCATAATGGCTACTTCTTTTCTGCAAAGGAAGTGGCAGTAGTATCATTGAAGCAATGTTACATTAGTAAAATTCTAGGTAATCAATTGAAGCAAAAAAAAAAAAAAGAAAGAAAGAAAAGAAAAAGAGAGATGTCTCACTGTTAACTGTAATATAGCTTAAAAATTTTATGTATCTAGCTTATTTATTAACAACTTGTTTAAACTTTATTAGCTGGTTTTCTACTTTATAACTGTGTTCTTCTTTAATTTACAAGGCAATAAAAATTAAAAGTCACTGGGAACATATCTTGGTTTTCAATAAAAATTTATTTAGTAACTTCAGAGGCATTGTGGCCAAAACATTTTAGCAGTGCAAACAAATTCAATTTAATTTTATTAAGGTGATATATTCTCAAAGGAGAAACACAGAGAAATAATCAGGCCCAGCATATCCTCCTAAAACCGACCACTGCCCTGTGCTTGGAGAGATCTGTTTAATACAAAAGATTTTTGGAAGCAAATCTTAATAGGTATGTGGTAGCTGCGAGTGACCCTTTCTGTTGTAGGAAAGGTTTTGCTGGACTGTTCTCCTGTGGTCTCCCATGGCAATATTCTAGACGTCATTCCTAAAGAATATGCTTTGCTTCTGCTTTTCTGGCATTAGTGGTTGCAGTTGATCGAGCTGATTGTATGGTATACACAACTATAGAAGTTTGATACCTAAGAATCTGTAACCCTAAACCTCCACCCAGATCATTCAGCATGAGTGACCGTAACATTACTACCACAGAACAAGATGATGAGGGCAGTGCTTCGGTTAACTAAGGCCTAGAATATCATCATGTCTTAGTCACCTTTCTGTGGCTGGACAAAATATCTGAAGGACAAAACCTCAGAAGAGGAGAGATTTATCTTGGCTCATGATACCAGCAGTCTCAGTCCATGGAAGAAGGGCTTGGTGGAGAGAAGCTGCTTGTCTCATAGCAGTTAGAAAGCAGAGAAAGCCGGACGAAGCCAGAGAGAGGGGAAGGGGTCAGGGATAAGATCTTCCCTCCAAAGTTACACTCAACGTGTCTTCCTTTCTTTAATTGGACCCCACCTCCCAATAGGCCACTGAGCTGTGTGTTCATTGATGGACTAACTAATCCACTCATGAGTTTAGCACTCTCATGAGCAAATCATTTCTTTAAATACAATCAAGTTGATTCCTGACTGTCACAGATGGGTTCCAAATGTAGCAAATTAAAACTAGCAATGACAGCTATCATGGATACCTAGTTACCACTGAGCATCAAGGTATGCAGTTGTTGTATTATTACCCCATTTTAGAGATGAGAACATCTGGGCTCCAGAAAGTGATATGCTATACAGAAATCACTAAATAAGTGGCCCAGCTGGCGTCCAAGTGTGATTTTGTTCATATTAAGCTTCCACTTTGAATTTACATTAGGTTAATACTTTGCCTTTGGCCTTTTGTGACTGACACAGGCAAGCTGATATTTACAAATAGCCCACGCATCTAGAGAGCCACCGTCCCACCATCTCCCTCTGACAGGCTCCTAGGACACTGCCTTAGGAGATGCTGTAATTCTGGAGGTTTCAAATCTGAGGGTTTAAAAAGGAATAAGCTGTGGGAAGCAGACATAGCCTAGGGGAACAGGTTCCTAGGCCAATCTGTCGTGTTTATGGGTAACCTCTCACCACCCCAAACATGTGTCTCCATATTGCCTGAATATAGCCTTTCTCTTCATAAGACTGCCTGAAATTCTGCCAAACTAGGACTCCTTTTGGATCTTATTTTAAATGAGAATACACACACTACTCAGCTGGGGATCTTGATGAGATATAGGTCCTGGGTTGGTGGGTGTGGGGAGATGTCGAGAGCTTGCGTTTATTACAGTTCCCAGATGAGACCAGACGCTTCTGGTCCATAGACCACACTTGGAGGAACAAAGGTGAAAATGTTTGATTTTATTCTTGGCTTCCTAGAGGTAGAAATCTACATCACTTTCCTGTGTGTGGCCTGTGCCCTAGGCATGGCCAACAGAAACTTCTTTTCCGGGCCATGATCTTGAGCGTTATGCTGCAGAGATGCAAGGATGATTTAGAAAAATATCCTGGGCTCTGGTGGCACAGGGTCCAGTGTTGGTGGCTCTGGTGGCAGTGTTCTGTGCAGACTGTTCTGTGGCTCACTGGTCGTGGACCATTCCTGACCATTGAGGAGCATCTGCCCAGCTTACAAGGACATGGCCCTGGCTCCCAGTGCTCAGGACAGCACTGCCAGCTGTTGGCTGTGACGCATCCCTCCTTTCCCTTCCCGCGATCGCAGCAGAGCCTGAGGGGATAAACCTAAGTCCTCAAGCCACTGGTGATGTCGAACATTTTCCATATACTTGTTTCTGTTCCCACTTCTTCATCCGAGAAGTGTGTATTTATCTCAGATGCCTATTTTTGGATTGGGTCTTTAAGTCTGGGGTTTCTGATTTTTTTTTCAATTCTTTATATGTTCTAGATAGTGGTAGTTTTTTGTCTGAAGAACAACTGGCTAAAAATTTTTCCCACTCTGTGGGTTGTCTTTTCATTTTCTTAGTAGTTTCTTTTGCTGTGCAAAAGCTTTTTAATAAGATGAAGTTTTGTTGGGTCTTTGTGATAATTCCTGTGTGATTGGGGTTTGATTCAGTCTTTGCCTACACCAATGTCTTCAAGAGTCCTACCTATTTTATCTTTTACCAGATTTAGTGTTTCTGTTTCAATGTTTAGAACTTGACTCATCTTGATTTTAGTTTAGTGCAAGGCAGTGGACGTGGGTCTAGTTTTAGTCTTTGGCATGTGTAGAGCCAGTTTTTTCAGTGTTGTTTATTAGAGAGGCTGTCTTTCTTCCGGTGAACATGTTTGGTCCCTTTGTCAAAGATAAAATAACTGAGTGTGTTTGGAGTTATTTCTGCACCTTCTAATCCGTTCTACTGATCCTCAGATTTTTTTGGTAAGTACCACGCTGCTTTTATCAAGTAGCTTTGTATTATAATTTCAAGTCAGAGATCGTGATGCCCCCTGCAATGGTTAGATGAGAGAGGCAAATTAAAATAATGCTGTGATTCCAAATCAACCAATGACAAATGCTGCCAGGGAGGTGGGAAAAAAGAACCCTTTTCCACTATTTGTGGGAATGTAGACTGGTACAACCACTATGAAAATCAGTGTAAAGATTCCTCAATAAACTAGGGTTAAAGATGCCATTTGCCAGGTATTCCTCTTCTTGGTATCTTTCTCTAAAAATTAAAAGTATCACACCATGGTGATACATGCATACCCATGTTTATAGCAGCACAGTTTCCAATAGCTAAATCTTGGAAACACCCCAAATACCCATTAACTGATTAATGGATAAGAGAAGACATTTTTAACACATTGAATACTACTCAGCCATAAAGACGGATGAATTAGACACATTTACAGCCAAACAAACAGATTTTGAGACCATACTTTTAAGTGAAATAAATCAGACAAACGTGTAAATATCACATTGTCTCTGCAGTATGAAGAACTGAAAGTATAAATAAGAACCAAAATGTATAATAGATCTTGTGAATTAGGAAAAAATCGTTCAAAAGGAAAGAAAAAAAGGGAAGAGAAGGATAAAATGGAAATAAAGCTTTGTAAATAAGGAGGGGAAGAGGGGTTGAAGAGAGGGGAGGGGAATGGAGGGAAAAAGGAATCAAGATGTATCACATACAGGTACAAATTCCCTGCGAGGAATATGATCATCATGTGTATCTAAATTGCACTAATAAACTTAATAACAAAAAAGTAAACTTAGGTACTCAGTATACTAAGGTTGAAAAAGTGGCTCTTTGTAAAATTCTGCTGTGCAGTTTGGGTTAGCAGGCTTTTACTGGAAAGGGCCAGCAAATAAATGTCCTGGGCTTTCTGGATCACATATGGTTTCTGTCATGACCATCAGCCTGTTGTCACAGGGTAAAAGCAGCAACACAAACAAAGACACTTTTTTTTGCAGTAAAACTTTCATTTGTGGACCTTGAAACATGAATTTTCCATACTTTTCATGTGTCATCAAATATTATTACTCTTTTGATTATTTTTAACCATTTAAAACTGTAGCACTCATCCAGCAGATTATCCAAAATAGGTGTGGAAAGGTTTCGTTCACAAGCCACGACTTTCTGATCCCTTGTGTAAAGCAGTTGTCTTTTATTTATTGAAAGAAAAACAAAACAAAATAGAAAACAGGCAGAAATAGTACATACTTTCAAAGAAAAGAAATAGTAATAAATCAGTAGCTGATGTATACATATTGTTCCTCTGTAGATAGCTGTTCAAGGTCCACGAGTGGAACATATAAATGGATTTCAACCAGAGAGACTACAAACAGTTCTGTTCAACTATCCAACAAAAACTAAGTGTTATGGCTATCAATCCTATACACTTAGACATGTATGTGTTCATCCATATCTTCATTTATGTTGAGAGCTAACACAGCATATTAGATTAAAATCCTTCTGAACAAAGATTAATAATATTGCTGGATTTCACATCGTAACACTCCGGAATCAGGATTGGGTACTGCAGGGCCACTTTCTTTCTTTCAAAGTTTTTGTTCATTTCATCATGTATCATCAGATCAGTTCTCATAAACTGTTTATAGGTTTTACATAAGCTTGAGTCTTAACATGTATTTCTATCCTTTCTATGTTAGAGAGAAAAACATAACAAAGCAGGACAGAACTAAACTTTTTCCTATAGACATGTAAAACTAAAAAGATATAAATCTGCTGTATAAGGAGTTCTATCCTGGTCACTGTGCAAAAGCAGCTGGCTTGAGTCAATTTATTTCCACATAGTTTTCTCCTTGAAACTATGGATTTCTTTCTCATTGCTTGTTTCCAAGACAACAGCAAGGTATTCTGAAGACTGAAGAGACCATGCCCACTCAGTGCAGCTTTTAGATCATACCATTTGCTCCCACAACATTTGGCTCTTTATGAAAATCAGTTAAGCACATTAAAAGTGCATACTACAAAGGTGAAACATACTAAAGCAGTGGGCTGGTTAGACAGCTCCTAAAAAGGCTCTGTGACAGGAACCACAGACTGAAACAGGAACCATGTGGCAATTATCTCTGAGATACCTTGGTCCAGAGATTTGGTGTACAAATGAGTTTTGATTTCGAAAATCTATGCACAGAGTATTACCGTCACAGTAAGTTGTTAGGGAAGCTGGTGGGAAACTTCATCACAGAAAGCCACAACTCACTCCCATGCTGGGTTTTCTGGAACTCCTCAGCATTCCACACCATTTTAGGTGCAGGAACCAGCGACAGATGCCAGGTCCCAGGCCAAGCCCTCCTGCGTTAGTGCTCTGTAGTTTCTTGTGATTCTTGTGATTTTCAGCACCAGGAATGGATGCCAACTATATCCGAGATCATGAGTTCAATCCCTGGTATCAAAAAAAAAAAAAAAAAAAAAAAAAAACACCCAAAAACAATTAGCTAAAGACAGGAAATAGCAACTAAACTTCAGAAAACTTACCATTCAACAAGCGTTCTCCCTGGCTCACCCACAGCTTCTAGTACAATGTCATTTTAGAACAGAGAGGAGAAAATCAGAGCTGGAATGTCTCGAAGCTCCGTATACAGTATTAGGGCTACTGGGAAGCACTAGAGCCTTTGAGAGGTGGGGCCCGGTGGGCGCCTGGGCTCATGGGGGGTGTTCCTTGGAGGGGATCTAGGGCCACCCTGCCAGTCCCTGCCCCCTTCGCTTCTCAGCAGCCCTGAGCTCAGCAGTTTTATTCCGCTGTGCTCTTTCACCATGACGCACCGTGTTACCACAGGGGCCAATTCGTCGTGATCGGAAACCTCCAAAACTGTGAGCTAAGGTAATCCTTCCCTCGTTTTGGCTGTCTCAGCCATTTGCTACAGTAATGGAAAGCTAACCCAAGAACTGTCATTCTTATAGTCACGAGCAGTACCATTGGATGTGGGGCGCACCCCTGTGATCCGAGGACTCAGGAGGCCAAGGCAGGAGAGTTGCCTCAAGTTTGAGGCCAGCATGAACCGTATAGCAAGACCCTGTGTCAAAAAAAAAAAAAAAAAAAAAAAAAAAAAAGTAACAGAGAGTGAATAAAATGAGGTGATTTTTAAAAAAAATCTTTCCTTATCCGGTCCTAATCATTTCCAAGTGCTTTGTTTAGGGCAAAACCAAAAATGTTAATATGATGTCCTCCATGTATTTTACTTACTAACCAAATTTCTAATAGGTAGACCTAATAAAGAGGGGCTATGCCTGCAGAGGGCTTGGTTGTGTGTGTGTGTGTGTGGGGGGGGGACTGAAGGCATTAGCAAGCGCTGACAGCCCCTGAAATCCTCCACACCTGGAGCTTGTTAGAATGCTCCCTCAAGGTGCCCAGGCCCAAGCTATAGAGAGGCCTCGTTTCCTGGCTTGTTCTTTGCCCAAGTGCACTGTAGCTGGATGATTCCAGGAACTAAACAGGACTGACCCACTAGAAAAAAAATACAACTGAACAAAGCCCAGTGGCTATGCCTTTGCAGCAAAAGACAAAGATTTGCCCATTGAACAAAAGCTTAAATGTACCTAGAAAATTAATCTTCCCTGGTCCCATGACACCATATTGACAGTGACACTCTGCTTCTCCTGTGGGGAAGAATCTCCCTTCTCAAGTTCCCCATGCGTCTGAGATTTTTCTTTCTTACATGGTATGCAATAGCCTTCATGGTGGCCCCATCCAAAAAGATAAATCCGTGTCCTGACCCCAAAACTTGGGAATGTGGTCTTATTTGGAAAGAGAGTCTTTGCACATATAATTAAGAATCTCAGGATGAGCTCTTTCTCGATTAAAGTGACACAAATCCCATGACACTTGTCTTCATAAAACAAAGGCAAGCCAGGTGTGAGGGCACACACCTCAGCCCTCTGGGAGGCTGAGGCAGAAGAATCACAAATCTGAGCCTCACCTGGGCAGTTTGGGCACTCAAAAAACCAGACAGGGGCTGGGGATGTGCTCAGTATGAAGGCTCTGCGTTCAGCGCCCACGGCTCCCCCACTGCAGAAAGGCGGGGAGAGCTGAGACAAACAGGGCAGGGGCTTCTCTTAGGGACAGGGAGGCAGAGACTAAAGAGAAGCAGCTGCAAGGATTGCCCAGGACCGCGACAACAACCAGCAGCTTGGAGAGACGCCGCAGATAACCTCTCCCTTAAAATTCACAGAGGAGACTGACCCTGCTGACCCTTTACCTTTGAACTTTTGGCCTTTAGGACTATGAAGGATTAATATTTGTTGCTTGAAGTCATCAGGCTTGGGTGTAATTTGCTATGTTACATTATAATCTGGTAAACAGAATGGAAAATGAAACATCATACATCCTAGGACACAGCTCAATATTAAATAGCAAAAACAGGTTGATGAAGGTTTGTAGTTCTGAATTCAGCACAGCAAGCATGTGCCCTGAGGTATATAATTACAGGGATGCTGGGATAGGCTCATTTAAAACACATCTCATCAGGCGTGGAGCTCCAGACCTGTAATCCCGCTACTCTGGAGGCTGAGGTGGGAGGATCATTTGAGCTCACAAGTTTAGAGACAAGCTGGTGAAGCTAGGGATAACCTGTCTCAACAAACAGAAGAACGGCAGGAAAATGAAGCTGGATGTGGTGGCCCATGCCTAGCATCTGGGAGGCTGAGGCAGAATTACAAGTTTGAGGCCAGCCTGGGCGACGTGGTGAGACACTGTCTCAAACTGAAAAATGAAAAGGCTTGGGAATGTAAGAAGGCCTTGATTCAACCCCAATACCAGAAAAAAAGAAAATGGCCTTTTCTCCAGCTATGACGTATTCCTAACTCCATAATTAGAGATTGTATCCTTATATTCTGTTAAAAATAGTATAGACACATACGTGAAATGAATCAGTCTGGTCATAAGTAAGTTTAGTTCCTGTTCATTTTTAGCTATGTAGTGTGAAGTTCTATTTGCTAAGCAGTGGACTGAGTCTCTTAAGTACATTACCTTGTTTAATGTGGGCATTATTTCCATTTTACAGATGGGAACACTGAGAAAACAATGTCAGTAAGTACCTCACTCATCTGGGGTGATAGATTTAACTAGGTGGCAGAGGCAAGTCTTGAGCTACCCTAAATCTGATCCCCAAAGCTGTTATTCTTTTTTTTTTTTTTTCTTGGTGGTGCTGGAGATCAAACCCAGGGCCTTATGCGTGCGAGGGAGAAACTCCACCACTGAGCCACATTGTCAGCCCCTGCCGCTGTTCTTCATGACTGCAATGCTTTTCCTATATTGCCTTATAGAGAATATACAAATGTAAAGAGCAGAGACTTCTGGTTACTGACTAGCAGAACTCTGAGTGGGAGAGAGGAGGGTAAGATACAGAGCATAAACAACAGGGTTTAAGACACCCAAACCAAATTGATATACTTTTCAGTGTGAATCAGTCCCGTGTTCAGGGGGCCAGAGGCATCCGTGGAGTTGAGCTATCCTTGCTCCAGGGTACAGCCATCCAGGTTCCTTAACCTGCCGAGAGGTATCTAAGTGCCTGGGCTTGATTGTAAGGGAGCCACAGTAAAGCAGAGCAGATGATTGCAGACCAGGGCATGCCCTGTGGAGGGCCTGCCGCGTTTTCCTTGTATGTGAAGGGGGCTTGCTGGTGTTGACTCAGAAGGAGAGTAGGAAGGAAAAGACGTTTCAAGCATTGCCTGCAAACAACCCTCCTGCTTAAACAGGCACTCTAATAATAAACAAGTAATAAATGAGTCAAATCCTCATTCTCTAAAAAACTCACTTGTTAATTTCCAGATGTTAGCCAAAACTTTTAAATATTGCAAAACTGCTTTAATGCATAATTGGATTCTCCTTTTAGTTTAAGGTAATTTTTTCCTTTTTGAACTTTGGCATCTTATTTTATGATCACTTTAGCTTTTTGAAAGTAATTTTGTTAAGTGCTTAGCTTAATCAACTTGCATCCACACACTGACATGTGGGGCTGTGCGTCTATATTCTTCATGTGACTGGGCCTCCATAAATCGTGCTCTTTTTCCAATTTTGTGTGTAGCTTTCTTATTCATTATAGTAAATGCTCTGCTTCCTGGACTTGGAGGGACAAGAGAATAAAAGCACTATTTCCCTCTTTACATCAAGGGAGGTTCATCTCCTGACTATTAAAAATGTTCATTGCTCATCATTTTGTGGTGCTGTGCTATGTCCTCTACCAAGATGCGAATAAGCAGGTAAGGGCCACGCTGCTAGAGATACGTGGTATACATGCCTTGGTTTCTGGAGAAGTTTGAATTTTATGCAAGTCTCTAAATATATTACCTAGTGTGCTTGCATTTTCATATTTTTGTGAAATTTTTAAAAATTTTATTTTTATTAGTATGTTTGTAGTACATAACAATAACACTCATTGCAAGGAGTTGGAGCATCTACATAGCACATCTGAATTCTTTTCATGTCTTCCTTTCCTCCATCTCTTTTTCTCCTCAGATTGTTGCATATAAACTAATTCTCAGAATAACATATCATAGTCCTTTAAGAATGATCTAATTCAAAGTCAAACTCATCAATCAATATGAGTCCTCAGAAGGTGGGAGAAAAATCCTATTTTGACTAGTGAAAAGAAAATGCATAGTTAGAAGGGAATTTGGGGGAGTTTTGAGGACTGAACTAAGGAGCAGTGAGATACTCCCAACTCTTTTTATTTTTTAGTGTTGAAGCTGGGTCTCGCTGAGTTGATCATGCCAATCTTCAATATGTGATCCTCCTGCCTCAGCCTCACAAGTAGCTGTGATTATGTCTATGCAGCTTCACTTGGCTAGGGAATGTTTAACATATACAGTAGAATAGACATTTTATTCTGCATTGTTTTTTATTTTGACAGGCAAAAATCAAAGATGTAGGAAGTTTCACCACTTTCAGTAATAACAGAGATGTGGGAAAGCACTCTTCAAGGATTAGTGAAAAGCGGTAAAGGTCTTCTATGGACATTGAGACAGTAGAATAAAGGTCCACTTTTAATAGCTGGCATAGAACCTGGTGGTTTTGAAACCACAAATGGGTTAATGAAAAACATTTAAATCTATCCACTCTGGAGAAAATTAGATTTCGAAGAAGAAATAAATATAGTTTATGAGTAATAAGAAAAATGACTAACGAGTGTATTTTATAAGAATTACTCATGTTTATATACATATATAAATAAATTTGAGGCAGGGTCTCACTGTGTAGTCCACGCTAGCCTTGAGCTCACTGTGTAGCCTAGGCTGGCTTTGGATTTGCAATGATCATCCTGCCTCTGCCTCCTAAGTGCTGGGATTCTAGGTGTGCATCCTCATGCCCAGCACTTTATACTATTTAAGTATTAGTTAATATTTATAGTTTATTTCAAGTAATGCCTGTCACTTGGATATATATCAGATAAGATCAGGTGCATTCAGAGTGATATGGCTGTAATCAGATATATATCAATATATAAGTAGCCTTGGGTATGGTCTCATTTCTGCATATGGCTGGCCTTATACACTAAATTTACTAAAAATAATATAGGTACAGTTTTTCATATATATTAAAATATATGTTTAATATATGTTAAAAAATATAAATACTGCAATCATACCTATATATAAAAGTACAGTTAATTTTCTTCTAGCAGTTTCAAAGGTTCAGGTCTTACATTTAGATCTTTGTATCTTTTTTTTGTCATTTTCCTTTTTATCGGTATCGGGGATCGAACTCACGACTGCCTGCTTGCAAGGCAGGCGCTTATGCCGCTGAGCTAAATCCCCAGCCCCAGATCTTTGTATCTATTTTGAGTAGTTTTTTTGTACAGTGCAAGAATTGGGGATCTAGCTTCAAACTATTGCATATATCCAGTTTTCCCCTTTGTTAATTGGGCTGTCTTTTCTCCAACATATGCTTCTGGTACTCTCATCAAGAATCAGATTGCAGTAGCCACACAAGTTTATTTCTGGTCCTCTATTCTATTTCATTGGCTTCTTTATCTGCTTTTATGCCAGTGCCATGCTGTTTTGTTACCATGGCTCTATA